GTCTCTCGCTGCCGCAAGCCGACCATAACCCATCAATGAAGTTCAGAAGCCCAGATAAAGTCACTTCACTTCCCTTATTATCCTTCTCCTTCTCCTCCTTCGCCTTCTTGGCAACAGGATCCTTCTCCTCCCCTTTCTTGTCCTTTTCTTTCCCCTTTCTTTGACCTGTGAGATCAAGTGAACAATCGATATCCTCGATCACAATTATCGACTTACTTGAAGTATCGATGAGTAGCTTCCTTAAATCTGTGTTATCTTTGACAGAGGTTAATTCAAGATCATAAATATCGTACTCGAGAAGGTTAGCCATGGCGGCAATCATGCTAGACTTCCCAGTTCCTGGAGGACCGTAAAGAAGATAACCTCGCTTCCACGACTTCCCCACCTTCTTGTAGTARTCTTTCGACCTGCTAAACGTCTTAAGATCATTCAAGATATCCTTCTTCTTCTTTGGGTCCATTGCAAGTGTATCAAAGGTAGAAGGGTGCTCGAATATGATGTGACTCCACATCGTTGTCTTGCTCATCCACCCACCACTTTCGCTCTTGTTGTTGGTATACAGCTTCCTTTGCCTGGTCTTTATAGCAATGGCCTTGCCTTCGTCGAGCACATGTTGCAAGTAAACTTTAGTAATGATATCTCGGTTTTTGCGATGGCAAGTGAGCTTGTAGAACCGTCTTTCATCATCGTTATGGTACGAAAAGAAAGATCGCTGTTGTGGGATGGTTTTGCTGGAAGTCCACCAGATCTTGATGCCTTTGAACTCATCAGTTACTTCTTCATAATCGTCCATACTGAGGACGACGGATTGGCAGTCTTTGACGACGTTTGCTTTGAGGCGTTTGGCTCGATTGGCGGAGTTGGTGCTGAGATAGCGTTCGATGGCAACATACGCCTTGCTTCGCTCGAACTCATCGCCTTGATACTCATGGAAAGTGATCTGGAGATAAGGGTAGACATAACTAAGAAGCTTATGGAAGTATTTTTCGACATGCTCACCGAGCTCTTCGGGAAACCATTGCCGGAAGATGGCCCATACGAACATAACGCCGGCCATCACGGACCCTAACTGAGTCATATAATGATCTCCCATCATCTTTCAGATCACAAATGGAACAAGAATTTGGTAGGCTTAATGGGGTTTAGATGTTGTTTGTTTATATAGAAGCGAGTCAAGTTTGAGGGTCAACGCGATAGGTCTTTTTATAATCCTTTGACGGGTTCGGGCAGGGACCAGATCTTAACACAAAGACCAAGGAAGGTTCCTTTTATATGCTTCCAAAATAGCATAAAAAGGTTTAAGTTAAAAGATTTTTATGATATAATATAAAATAAAATATAATTGGTTGGTTGGTAATTATTTATAATAAAAATAGCATGTTAAATAGTTAAGATTCATCTTTTAATAATTCAAAAATTATCTCTTTAACATACCTGTTAAAAGATAAACAAACAAGTTTTTAAATATCACAAGTAGTAATAACCCACTGTATGGGGGCTGCCTTCTGTTGGTTCCTTGCTCCCTCACAATTCAAACCGCAGCAAAAGTCATTTGACTCTTTGGAGATTCCTTTAGTCATTATTCTAACTCCATAGTCGACACATCCTAAACCCTCTCCTCACAAAAGAATAAAAGACAACTAAATTCTAAAATTAAAATATTTTTAATTTTAAGCTTTTTATATTTTCATTTTTAACCTTTTAACTTTATTTATATTTTAACTTTTTAACATGTTTTACAATTACATCTTTTATGTTTTTTAATTTTTAATTTGTATTATAATTATATAAATAAATTAATTTTATATTATTATTAATTAATAAAATATTAAGAATACATATTTCAAATATAAATTAAATTTTATTAATTAATAAAATATGAAAACATATTTTTTGGTTATCTATTTGTATACAAATGTATTACGATAAATTACAATATATTAAAA